TGAGCCATATCAAAATGAAAGCGCATGATGAAATAAAAATGACACTCGTTTTCCGCTTGATGGAAATTTCACGCCAGCTCGCTGTCTCTGCTGGTACCTTGAGCGTTTCCCAGCGATGCGGAGAGTTAAAAAAAAGCAAAAACAAAAACAAAAACAGAAAAAAAAAAAAAAACACGTACCATGGCATCCTTTGCACACTCATTACTTCTATAACACTGAGCCACCTCGTATCCTTTTGTTTTTCTTTCATGGTACTAATTTCTTTCTGCGCATTACGGCTGTTACGACGCTAAGTCTGTCTGCCCTTCGAATTTGAACTTAGGCTCAGATCAGGGACGAAGCAGTTTAAATCAGGAAATATAATTAACACTGTAGCAAAGTAAATCTATCATATCGATCGGAAATACGATTTGGCACATTCCATCTGAACACATATTGTGCACAGCGAATGCAATAGCGAGTCAGCGTGCAAAACGCCGCCACACTGAGCTACCATAACATCTCAGCAATTTTTGCATAGCACCAAGCACGGAAAAGAGAAAACAGTTATTCATTCACATAAACGAAGCAAATTTATTTAAAGCCCGGACACTCCGTACGTCCAATCTAGCTAAGATTATCAATAGACTCGACCATGTCATTTGTCGAAACAGATAAAAGGCGTTGGCAAAAATGATTAGACTGAATAAGTGAATCTAACGCACATACTTTACCAACCGACGGTCGCGCGCCTTCAATAACCTTTCCAATTGTCATTGCGCACCTTGGACACACTTTGGGGAGCAATGCATATTTACATCGCCGCCCGAGGTCTCCATTGAACGTGTAGTGCTGACCCAAATAAAATGCTAACCTGACTCTCAATCGCTCACTGCAAAGGACGATTTCGAACAGGCGGTACTGTAAATCACTTGAGATAAAAAAAAAAAAGCTATAGAAACGAGCGTCGTAAAAAAGGGGACCGGCATTTTTATTCCTACCTCCGAACAGAAACGAGCGCCACCCACTGCATCACACAGCGCAGAGGCCGGACTCGGCCACCGCGCGTACATACCAAGCACGCGCGAGGGAGGGAGAAACTTCCTCCGCCGGGAGAACACGGCACATTTCGGGATCTATTTCACGCAGCGGATAACGCGGGCCTTTTCACACCTCGATACTGGCGCCATCTAGAAGTTGCGCGTTCAACCACGTTTCGAGCCGCGCGCCATCTGGTGGCTAAAACGGACGAATAAAGAGAGGTACCGCGCCCTCATAAGCACTGGGCAGGGCTCCAGAAAGCGCCACCGTCGGTTGATCATCAGCGCCACCGTGGCCAAATGACGCAACACTGGGACGGCTAAAATCGGCAGCACAGCCGGCGTACCCTCGCGAGATTATGTTATTACCAACTCCGAGCGTTGGGTTGTCGCACGCTATACTACCGACTGTTTTAAAAATGTATCAAACATTGACTGTTTTAAAAAGGTATCAAACATTAAATATAGTAATGAGCATGCGTATTCGGTTGTGTTGTTCTAGCATTAGGGAGGTTTAGGAGGTGCCTTCCTCGATAAATAGACAGAGCCGTATATACATAGAATTTGGCCATTCATTGGGGAGTATATACAGTCAAACCTCGATGTAACAAACTTCTATGTAGCGAAACCCTCGATGTAATGAAGTACATAACTTTTTCTAACCGCAAGCGTATAAATGCCATATATTTTTTTATCTCTATGTAACGAAGTTCCGTTTGTCAAAATTTCTATGTAACGAAGTTTCAATGTAACAAAGTAAATTCCGAATTTTACCAACTTGATTACATCGAGGTTTGACTGTAAAAGACAAACGAAGAGGCGCCATTGGCCGAAAGCGTACGGGGCGTGTTTCAGGGCGTCTTCACAAATTCGAATGTGGCGAACAAGAAGCCGGAAATTATACTCTGGCGGTGGTCACGAGAAACGAAATTAATAAGTGCGTCGGAGTAACTCTCGGTGACTGAAAATATGGTGCACATGATGTTTCAATCACGGTCATCTAAAATCATGTTGGAAGAGTGTGACTAGCGGAACAATCTACATAATCCGTATGCCAGGCGCCGAGGGCCCGGAATCAGTCGTTCGAGCGGTCACACTCTGTCCAAGCAAAACAGAGTTCGAGCAGCACATTCGTTTTTTACATCTTTCTGCATGATCATAATCGAAACGTCACATGCACCATTTTTCAACCAAGAAGGGTTACTACATTTAACTCTTACGCGGTTATTAAAACCATATACCTATGATTAAAACTGTTTCTCGCTACCACCGCTAGGGGATTCTTTTCGACTTCTGGTTGGAAAAGAGAGCATGTCAAGCCCCCTTTCTGCGTCTGGTGGACGACCTGGCTCTGCCCACGCCTCCCATTGACCAAACTCACTCTATACACGGCTCTGGGTAGAGACAACCCAAAATGTGAACTAGCAGAACAAAATTGAATGTCCTGACATTACAGCCAAATATAAGTGAAAGCAAATAAACAAGGGAAGTTTCCCTTTTATTTTTTTCTACATTGCTTGTGAGCGCCTTAAAATTACAAAAGTGAAGACTTCCCGAGCTTCTCTCCTCTACAAAAGTGGGTCTAAAAAGGTAAAAACAGTGCAAAAAGACACAGACAGGGAAGATGTACACAGACAGAGCACTGACTTTCAACTGCTTAATTTAAACAGTTAAATTAAACAGTTGAAAGTCAGCGCTCCGTGTGCGTACATCTCCCCTGTCCGTGCCTTTTTGTGCTGTTTTTACCCTTTTAATATGCAACACCAATTAGCCCAACTCACCACTCTGTGGATCTAAAAACGCCCCACCCACCCCCCTTCCTCTCAACCTCACCCACCCCTTTTTCCAAGTGAACTCTTCCCGCATGAACAGCTGACCTCATTTTGATGATCAGCTTGTTTCCAGTCCCCTTGAGGTCATGTTGAAGACGATTATGGTGTCCGAGGAATGTGTTTTTCGTGCAAGCTGTCTGTAGTTTGGACGGTGTCGCAGTTGCTTGTCGCAAGCTCATGCTCGATCTCGTCGATAAAATATGCTGTTCACTTTTACATAGAATGCAAATAAATGCCGCATGGATAACCTTTTCTCGAGTCGTGGGGTAAGTAAATTTTTTTATTGCTTGAGTAGACTATTTTTTGCAGCGAGGACGAAGTTAGAGCCGCATAGACATGGGTCGAAATAGAGCAACCATCTTGGACAGCCACGCGATCACGCTAAAGGCGCAAACGACAGTCTGCTCTGCAACCGGCGAATCTAAAAAAATTCTCACAGCAGTTTTCGATAACTACAATCAAATTTCCATAAAACGTCGTTCAATCAAGATGTGTCCGCGGTGCAGGGAGCAGTGACAGTGTCAAAGGACTGATCCATCTCAAGTTAGCCAAAATGAACGGAATGCTGATTTTACATGTTTTACGGCATTTTTTTATCTCCGATGGCGTTGTATTTTCCACGGCCTCGACAGGCACCTGCGGAGCTTCACGCCTTCTAAGCTGTTGGGGTTGCGACAGTCCGGTAGGCAACAGAGCTTTGATGTTTGGTCTCCTGCGACATGCGAGAGCAATGTTAAGAATAAAAGACCAAAAACGCACGAATCAACATTTTCAAATTGATGCGTGAACAGCCCCACGAGCAAGCAGGCTGGCAAAAGGGCCTTCCCAGTGTTGCAAATATTTTGGGCTAGATGGTGCGACGTGTCACACTAAACTTGATATCAAGAAGCCTCGACATAAAGCGCCATTCACACATATGCAACCGAGTAAGACCGAGAGAGACCAGGCGGGTTTTTAGAGCGATGCTATATGCACTACGTAGTGCACTTTGGACGGAAATTGCTATATGCACTACGCTGAGAGCTCATGCCGCTCGGGCCACCCTTTTTCGAACTGCGCGTGTATCACTGGGGAGCTCGTTAACCCAGCCCCCCGCCTGCGTTCACGCCGCTTCGCGGCGACAGTATGCGGCTGCTAATTAGAAAAGTTAACCAGTACACGCCGCTTTGCGGCGTCCAGCCGGCAACCCAAGCCCCGCTGTCCCCGATCTGCGAAGTTTTGTCAACAACATTTGGTGTTTTTTTTAGTGTTCATCGCAAAAAAGAAATATAAATATCGCCAAATACCTCGTCAAAACAACGTTCAAGAAAAAAGAAAAGGAAAAAAAAAAAAAAAAAAAAGGTAGGATCACCGCGATTCGAAGCTGCGTCCACTAGCGTACGAAGCGGGCACGCTGACCCCTACGCTATGCCACCGGTTGAAAAATTCGTTGTGATCATTCTTTTTATACGAGACAAACGTAGTGCATATAGCAATTTCCGGCCGAGCTGCACTCCGTAGTGCATATAGCATTACTCGGGTTTTTAAGCCTCTTGCGACGTCTTAGGACCAGCTCCGCTGCAGCGCTTCCGGTCCTAAGACGTCGTAAGAGGCGTAAAAACCGGTCTGGTCTCTCTCGATCTTACTCAGTTGCATATGTGTGAACGGCGCTTCACTCTTTTATCAATAAAAAATGTTTAACCACCACCATTGCCCTGAGGGTATTGAAGGTTGTTTTCTTTCTTTGTGGACTCTAGTTGGGTGAAGTTAAACGAAGTACAGGGTGTCCCCGCCAAAAAAGTTTTTACAAGTTTTACAAGCGCAAAAATAAACTATGCATCGCCGAATGCTCATTCTACAACAAAGGTAGCACTAGAGGTCAGAACCATATGCCAAAGTTGCAGGCCAAACCGATATCTTATTCAAAAGTTATAAGTGATTTTGTGAAAACTGGAATGGGAAAATGCGGCCCATTTTTGCCCGTTTTTGGTTTCTGGCGCCATGGCCACCATTTTCCCCATGGAGCCGCTCGCTACCGCCAGTTGGGATGTTTCACAAAATATCTATACTCGGCGGTGGACGTGCATGTTTGCACAAAGGTTGAACACGACGTCGGAATGCATGAATTGAGAGTCAGAAAAGATGAAATTCTGGACAAAGCAAAACTCACGAGCAGCGGGCATGCTCCTCGGGAAGTGGCGGGAGACGATTCCTACGCCGCGTTGACATTACGGAAGAACCGGGACTCCTGGGACCGTGATGATTCCGCTTGAACCAACTTGATAATCCGTATGTAAACTATTCGAAGAAACAAGCGAATGTGACAACCAGCGCACGCCACCGATTTTACAGTGCGCGCTATCGCGCTCGCGGGTTGAATGGACAAATGGATGGTAGTGACCACTGTGGTAGTGACAGGAGTGACAGCATCCTGGCTTTGTAACACACTGTAACTTGCGCCACCTATGTTCTATGTCGCGCATGCTACGAACCTACCCATGGCCTCCGAGATCCCGAAGCGCGTGCGCGAACTCGTACTTAGGGGTATCGCGAACCGGCCGAGGTTCGAGTTCGACCAGGTTCGACTTTTTCGAACTTTTAGTGGAAAGTTCGTCGAACCTTGTATTGAGGTTCGACTCGTGTGCGCATGCGCGGCAGCCTGGCCAGTTGGCTTCGGATTGGATGGTGATGGCTAAGGAATGAATTAAGGGCAACACTGATTGGTTATTTCAGTTAATACAGTACAAACAATTAAGTTATCAGCTTATTCAGTGATTAGAATGACTTGCTTTTAATTGCAACTGCTCATAAAATTAAAATAACCTTTTGCATAAAAAAAAATTCTCCAAACCTAGGCATGCTTGCATCGTGGTCTGGCCACACTGTCCACAAAGTCGAACCGGTCGAATTTGGCTAAAAGTTCGAAAGTTCGTCGAACCGGTTCGACCCAGTCGAACCACGAAAGTTCGACCTAAAAATCCGGTTCGACAAAAGTTCGCGACACCCCTACTCGTACTCCCTAGCAGTACGAGTGTGATTGCGCTAACTCCGTCGCCCGCCGCGAGGTGGCGACGTCCTCCTAGTCATCATGGATGCTTCAACGAAATTTGAAATATACCCGTCGTGTTCAAAAAAAGGGTTATATGATCCACAATATTTGTAAATGAGAATCGGATGTTTGTATTTTGAGTCTCATGGCTGTATTTTTCGTTATAAACGACCCACTCTGGCAAGCGCTCAGAGAACAGCCAGCGGAGACCACCTGACATCCAATGCAATCGTGACGTAGTTCGTCTCGGGACGAGCAAAGCTACGGCGAGGCTGAGTTCGAGAAGATAGTCTAGTCGTTCCAGGCACCGAAGCGGCTGCTTTTGTACGAATTTTGAGTAACGGGTTAATCTTCTATAATCTTGTAGAGGGACAATAGCGACTTCTAGGTCACACAAAAGCAGGGGGGTAAAGGTGGGTGAGGAGGAGTGGCAAATCCCGTGCGCCGACACCCGGGGTCCCGAGTGAACGATCGCAAAGGAGGGCGACAGAACACGAGAGAAAGAAAGCAACGTTGCCATGGTAAACGCGAAGAGTGAAAACTTTCAGCAATATAAACAGGGATAATTTAACGTTGTAAACTAAGTTCTGAGCTATTCTAACGCTTATAAAAAGCAATAAAGTCATTACGCTGCATTAACTTCCCTTCTGTCGAAATCTCGAAATCTGGTGGTTGAGCAGTTTCGTATTCCTCAACCGCGCCCACCCGCGCCCCACCGGCGAAGCCGGGTATATGGTTTAGTTTAGCTTTAACGCGAGGCCGTACATCTGCGCGCTATGCAAAAAGAAAGCTTCGAAAGGAACGCGAATATCTTTCCACCGGTAAGTTCGTGGATTGTTGAAGTTCACGAAACTGCTCTGATGATGTAACCGTGTTTGGGACCCCGAGGGTCTGCCTGCATGATCCGCCTGAGGCAACCAGAATGTATGGGAAAATGGCGGACCTTTTCCTCTAGAGTTAGTATGTATGATCTCTATGCACAAAAGGGACTCTCGGGAAGAGGCGAGTTCCTCCTTCCTCTCTTCTCTCGTCGTGGCCGGAGGCGAGACAAACGTCGTCACTATCTGCCAAGGTTCCTAGACGGGCATTGCAAACGAGACGTTAGCGACAACCAAGGTGCTCTTTGCTAACCGCTTAATTTGTTTTAAAATTCCTTTTCGTGTCTTTGTTAACAGGATATCGGTGTGTCTGATGTGATACTGCCCCTTTGAACAGATATAGACCAAAAAATAAGCCAGCCAAAGTTTCCGAAATTTCGTTGTAGTATCCCTTTAATGACGGACACCTCCCGCGCCAGTCAACCAACGCCAATGTTTGCCAACGCGCTCGTCACCTGTGGCATTGCTGGTAACTGTCAAAGGAGCTCTTTTTGACATTGATATTCCACATATTAGAACGCACAGAGTGCATAAAAAGTTAACAGTACTGATTTTGCCGTATTTAGAGTCCATTTATCTATTCTACTACTTATTTAGAGACGTGCCCCCTTCTAGAGTGCCCAGCAAGAGATGACCATGAGAGAAAAATTTCTAGGATTGCAACAGAGCAGTTTGTACGGCCATTCCTGGTCAACATAAACATGACTATGACAGATGGGGTAGAGTATGGAAAGAAACTGCTCGCAACCACTGCGTCGCAAAGTACTTCGCTTCTAATCTAGATATTCAAGGCTTGGAATCTGTAATTAAACCAGGTTGGAACTTGGAATGCCGAATAAACCAGGTTGGAACAAAGTTGTAATTAATAAATAAACCAGAGTTCTTTTTATTGTGATCCCATTGTCTGTTTGCACATCACAACGTGCATAACTGGATGCAATGGTTGTTTGGGATACATTTTTCCAAAACCAGAAATTTACTTGCTAACACCCTACCTTTTGAATCAGTATCTACAACTATCATGAAGTTTATATTAAAAAAAAGGCGATATCATTGCGAAGTAGGTCGTATCTCACCGCCATACTTTTCTCCCTAAAGCCGTGGTAACACAAGACGCGCTTGTAGCGCTAGCCGCCACATGTCCAGATGAATATCTCAAATTAAATAATAATAACAATAATATTAATTTTTATTTTCACGAGAAAGTTTGCCCACTCAGCGGCGTGCAAGGCCAGACAGAAACGTTAGTACCCTTACGCATGTGCGCCTGCTAGCCCGCCGCTGAGTAGCGGCGGCGGGCTGAACATTACGACTTGTCTGTTTTTCTTCCCCAGAGCATGCAGCTGTTCACCGTTTTACCACAAAGACACAAAAAATCTGTAAGTAGAAGCAGCAGAAACTCGACGAAACACGACTTTTTCTTGGACTCTTCTCCCTTGCGCCATACTGAAACTAGTGAAACGTTGAAACTGCGAATTCGATGCCTGTGTTGCGAAGAGCGTCTCCCCGCGGAGAGACGCCGCCTCATCCTCTTTTTCCGCTTACGCCCTCTTCGCACGAATGGGACGGCCGGAGAAGCGTTCGCAGGGATGTTCCATGCGGAGAATTTTCCCTTTTTCAGGGAATTTCCGGTCTCAAGTTTGGTGAAAAAAGAAATGGCAATTTTAACACGTTTGGAGGGATTTTTAAGGATTAACGAGGGAATCCGGGAAAGGTTCTAGAGGGAGCTAAACACACTAAGAAGTCGAGTGGTCCAAATGTGTTAAGAAGAGAAAGAAAGTTGCGGTGCAGGAAAAAGGTGTCTGAACGACTCATTTTAAAGTAGGTTTAGGAAACTTCTACTTAACTTGAAGTACATTGTCCGCGTATGTACTTGTACATTATTTGAAGTAATTTTTTCCGGTACTTTCCGAGCAAAAGTACAACTTCCGACTTCAAGACATTCTCCAAATTTGAGAAAAATAGAAGTGTATTGTTATGTAAAAACACGCTATTGTTTTTCAAGATTTCGATCATTTAGTAATTTCTTTGATAGAAGTAATGGCGGCTAAAAGACCGATGCAAATAAGTGCGAGAGCGAAAGTGAGATGACTACTCCATGGCCACTTTATTTTGGAAAACAATTGATGCACCCTCGATTACCCCCCCCCCCCCCCCCCCCCCCCCGAAAAATTGCACCGCATGTACTTACTACTTTGCTTGAAGTACATAACCTCTCATTTGCTTTGTACTTTACACCAAGTACTTTTTAGATGTACTTTAACAAGAACTGCTAAATGTTCTATTATTTAGTTAATAAAAGTATAAATTGACCACCTCACCAAAAAGCCAGTATAAATTTTCACTCATAACACTGGAAATCTAACTGGAATTGTTTCTGAAAACCTGAAATTCCAGTTGCGTAACCCACTTAGCGAAAAGTGATACTGGGTTTTCTCGGTAGGGCAATAATATTTTCTTCTCTTTAAATATGCGATGTCACGCAGCTTTTGGTGTAAAATGCGCGCATAGTGGCCTGCATGACTACAGAAATCAGCTGATGTGAAAATAAAGCCATCAAGTGCAGGGAAATATGCGGGGATATTTCAAGATTTTGCAGGAAAAAAGTACCCCAAAAAGCGAATTTTTATACCCAAGAAAGGGAATTCTTGGACATGGTATGGGACATCACTGAGCGTTCGCGCGCTTCGGGATGTCGGATGCCATGCCCCACCGAGTTTCGCTAATTTTCAAGGTTCGAGCTCAATGCGCGATCCATTGAAAGCTAACTAAGCGATTAAAATTTCATGTGTTTGCTTTTACGTCAAAATTTGACAAACAAGCTTTGAGCAGGACGTAGTGGACCTCCGACCCGCCCCAAGCGCAGGCCATGTCTTCTTTGTCTTTTGACGGCCGCAGATGCTAGCTATGAGCCCTCGACAGAAAGTACGAATCCTGTGAGGTCGTTGCAGAACACAGAGGTCACTGTTCCGAGCAGTACCGAGTCAATTTGTGTACCTGCGCCCATTTCACGTTTTCTGCTGTTCTCCGAGCTAGCCTCAGGTAGGGCATTTCAGGTCACTTAGTAGTTTTAATAATGTTTCGGAGTATTCATTACAGCTTGAAGGAAAGAAATGCCCGCGAGTCTACATTTTGGGTGCGAAAATCGTTCGTCTTTTCTGTGCAAAACGAAGGCTTTTTTTTTTTTTTCTGCTGGTAAATTATTGATGTGGTTTTATTAAAAGCATATTCGTACTGTCTGTATGGTAGGTACCCACGCCTTGTTTAATTATACATAGTGTGGATGTTCTTTTTTTTGTGTGTGTTACAAATTTTTCGCCCCTTTAGTTCGGTTTTTTTTGCAAATGTGTTCCACATCTGAAAAAAAAAAAAAAAAAACGGACCGACAATTTTATGAACATCGGATCTTGTATCTTGTATTATTGTCCCGCTAAACAATAAATACACACGCGTGGTTCCTTACGAGCAACAGTGTGTAACGTTTTAGTTTTATTAACGTGTTCAAAAATTCGTTTCTTTTCTTATTATTCACACGTGTTTCGCTGAACGATAAAACAGAAAAACAAAAAGAACAAAAAAAAAAATGGTTCGAC